ACAATCTTAAGTTTTAATTCTTAAGTTTTAATGATGTGAATTAATCAGGTAAGGATAAAATCACCCATCCAACACCCTCCCACCATGGTGATGGCATGCCCTCCTGTGGAGATCTGCCATCTTGCTCAACTTACTTAGGTCCTTGCACATTCAAAGTCCTCTTCAGATTTCCTTTTCCACCAGAGGGGGAAGCCCTGAGCCCTGTGTACAAACAAAAAGCGGATCTGGAGACCTGGAGGAGCCACTCCCAGCCCCTGCTCAGAAGGTGGTGCTCTCTGACATGCAGCCTTTTAATGGGCAATGGGGTTATCTTTTTCAGGTTATCCTGGAATTTAAAACTTATGTACCAACCTCATCCTCTTTGGAGTCTGCATCCTATGCAACTGTCCCGAGCAATCAATGTCAAGGGTGTGGGGCTGTGGATACTAATCCTAAGGAAATTTCTGTAAGAACTGGAGAGCCCAGATGCTGTGTCTCATGCTGTATACTTAAGAAGAGAAGAAAAAAGTCCTATATTTGTGATCAAAAAGAGGGAACTTAAAATGTGCTGGTGTTTATAATAAAAGCTGGTAAAACTGCTTGGATTCAAAGATGGTTCGGATTGGCTAATGATCCTTAGCGTTAGCTCAGCAGCTTGTCACTGAAAGACTGGAGATGCTCAGTTGAAATTGTCTGGACTAAATATGTGTTTGATGCTCTCTTTGAACTTCTACCCTTAAAGAGCTGGAATCGAATGAGATGCCTTGGAAGGCATGCTTTACCAAAGCTGCTGCTTCTCCAGAGCTCTCCTGAGCTCTCTGGTAAGTTTAAATTGAGACAGGGTCTCACTAAGTCGCCCAGGCGAGCCTCCAACTCTCAGTCATCCTACCTCAGTCTCCCACATCTAGGATTACCTGCATGTTCCCTGGTGCCTGGCTTCTGTGTCTTCTGATTGCTATACAATTAAACCAAAGGTTTCATTTGAACAACAATGTAGTTTTAGCACTGCACTGCAAAATAAGCTGCTGTTTAGAACAAACACCTCATTAGGGCAGTGATTGTACATTTGGTATCCACTGTGTAGCCCAGGAAATGCTTTTGACACAGAATAGTGTGCTGGGAAGTGGAGGCACAGTTTCAATACTGTAGCAGACTCATACGTGGGGGCATGTAGGAATGAGAATAAAGTCTGTTCACCTGGGCCTGAAAAGATGTAGTGGCCTCCTAACAGATGTTGCTGTTAATTACACATTTTTAATCATGTATGATTCCATTATGAATAATAAGAAGTCAAGGATGGGGAAACAAATTAGTTGAATGAAAGATAACTTGAGTGAAGGTAACACCCAAAGTAGACTCCAAAGAACCTTGATGAGTGATGGGGATGCTTTGCAGTTTACCTAAATTGTCCATAAACAATGCTTTCAGCTTGCTTCAATCTTCTTAGGAGTTAGTAGGAACCTTATTGACTGATTTCACTAAACAAAGTTTCATAGGGAGCTGATGGCTACTGAACACTTTTAGTAGAGTGCTTGCCTAGCATGGGGAGGAAGGACCTGGTGTGGTAGGTTTTTAAGGGATCAGGAAGAACCTGGAGAGGGCTTAGAAGTGTTGGCACGAGGCCTCTGTGAGGTTTGGGGGCACTGGGGAACAATCCCAGCAAGGAGCCCTGGGCCTTAGACTTGACCTCAAGTGAGCTTGCCAAATTCTGCCTTCCTGATATAGACAATAAAGTGAAGACATAGAAAAAGCATTATAATATATGCAAATTGTTTAAATGGATTCACTCCTTTGGCCTGTAAGGTAGAAAAAGGTAAGTGGGGTAAGTGATTTAGCCCAGTCCATAGAGCATGCAGAGCAGAGGCACCTGGGCCCTGAGCTCTGCTCTTGCCCAGTGCTTGAAGAGGAGCCCTTCTAGCCTTTGGAGCTCCTACTGCCATCCTTACCCAGCCAGGTTTACCCTGAACCCACCGTGGGGGTGTTTGGGGAACTAGGAGAACAACCTTATATAGTAACCCCCTCAGACATTAAGTGGACAGAAAGTGGTAACAGTTGCTGGTTAACTTTAGAATCAGGAAAATGTTTACATCCTAGTGGTCAATTCAGTGTTCACAGCAACAAGATTATGGTGTAGGTGACTCTGGCCCATCCTCTGCCCAATGCCTGTGAGAGGATGGAAACTGAAATGAGTTTTGTAGTCTGATCTTGCATCCCATGTCCCTGGGCTCACAAAGAAGCCTCTTAAAAACTGATTTTGGGGTTTATTTTTTTGGTTTTGGGTTTTTTTCTTTTTTTGTGCTGGGGATTGAACTCAGGCACTTGACCACTGAACCACATCCCCACCCTATTTTGTATTTTATTTAGAGACAAGTTCTCACTGAGTTGCTCAGCACCTCGCCATGGCTAAGACTAGCTTTGAACTCACTATCCTCGTGTCTCAGCCTCCCAAGCCACTGGGATTACAGACGTACACAACCATGCCCGGCTTAAAAAAATGATTTTTAAAATCCAGGTATGTCCAGGAAATTCAGATGAAAGAAGGCTTGAAGAAAACAGTTGGGGAATGCGCCAAGCCAGGATGAGAATCCACATCTGAAGGTCTTTGGAAGCCCACCGAATCTGGGAAGGGTGACTGAAGGTGTATTCTGCCATCAGTGCTTTCTCTGTTTCTCCAGTCAGCCAGGCTTCCTGCTGCTGGGACTCCTTCCTTGTAGCCTCTGACCCTACCAAGGATGCCTCAGACCTCGACACAGGAGTGGGCCCCTGGGAAGAGGAAGGTTATTTCCTGTGCTTCCTGAGGAAGGAATGGAGGGAGAGTAGGTAAATGCTGCTAAGAGTCTTGGGAACCAGACATGCTCCCAAAGCTGGGAGGTAGAACAAGGAAAAGAAAAGATCATAGGTCAAAGAGACATTTGAAGCTGACAGGTGTTTGTTAGGCAGCTAGAATTGGTGTCACCAGAAAGCACTGGAAGGCAGCCAGGACTGGAGCATAGAGGAAGTAACTTTGTGGGAAGTTACTTCTAACCCTCAATAGATAACATGAGTTCCAAGCATTGGTTTCCTAAGCAAGGAAACCAGCTGGGAGTGGACAGAGGGCCCTAGATATCTTGTCCTGAACCTGGTAGGTTTATCCTCCAGGGAGGCTGGGTCCTGCTGTTTCATGTCCCATCCTAAATGGAGCCCAGGTTTTCCTCCCCTTGCCAAACACCACTTCCCCTTGCTGAAGTGAAAGGATTTCCAAGCCAGAAGTGCCTGTAGATGAATGTGTTTGGTTTTACACAAGAGATGATTTCCTAAATGGTGTGAAAAAGGAATAAAATAGGCAAACACCTCTCAGTTTCCCTGGGAGTAGCTGTGTGAGAACATCCTGGAGACCACTCTGGAGAGTGGTGATGGGGAGGGAACCAGGCAGAGGCAGGGGCAAGTGATACAGGGCCTGTGGGCTGAGACAAGAATTTGAAATCGATTTTTAAGTTTGAGGGAAGGTACAGTAGTAGTTGGCACATCTTGTAATCCCAGTGACACAGGAGGCTAAGGCCATATCTTAAGTTCAAGGCCAGCAAGATCCCTTCTTAAAAAAAAAAAAAAAGCTAGGCACGGTGGCACAGGCCTATAATCCCAGCGACTCAGGAGGCTGAAGCAGGAAGACTGTGAGTTCGAAGCCAACCTCAACAGCAAGGTGCTAAGCAACTCAGTGAGACTCTTGTCTCTAAATAAAATACAAAATAGGGCTGGGGCCGTGGCTCAGTGATATAGTGCCCCTCAGTTCAATCCCAGGTACCTCCACTCAAAAAAGTTTGGGGGAGACCATTGAGGACTGAGTAAAAAGAATAGGACTTGGCTTCAGAGGATGGGGGTGCTGGCAAGAGTGTCCAGGTGAGAGGGCTCCTGCCTTCTATGCAACAGTGTCCACCAGGTTCGTTGGATACTCCCCTTCTCAGTTGCTTAGACCAGTACAGTGGAGAGTCATCCCCTATGCTTTCCATCTTGACACATTCCCAAACACACTGTCTCCCAACACCCCAACTCTGTCCAAGATCAATATAGGAGCTGTCCTGGGACCTTCACTTCTCGCAGCTCCTGTTACCAATCTCAAGGAACTATGGGTTGGTTTTTTATTTTTTTTTTTTAAATATTTTTAGTTATAGGCGGACACACTACCCTTATTTTTATGTGGTGCTGAGGATCGAACCCAGTGCCTCACACATACTAGGCAAGCACTCTTCCGCTGAGCCACAACCCCAGCCCTCTATTCTGCTTTGTTTTTGTGCAGGCGGGGTCCGGTTGTAGAGGGCAGCGGCGGGAATAAGCCCAGGGCCTCACACGTGCTAGGCAAGCACCCTACCACTGAGCAACTCCTCCAGCCCTCAAGTAAATGTTTTTGTGCAGTTATTTGGTCACAACAGCAGACCTCCAACGTGCCTCAGGATCATTTGAGAATCTGTGTAAAAAGAGCTGTCAGGGCTCCATTCCTGGGTACAGGTGGTGCAAGGCAATCTGCATATGAAGTGGTGCAGGGTTAGGACCAAACCTTAGAGACCAGGTTCATGGTCTCCTAACTTCTAAGAGGGAGGGGAGAGAGCTGGAGTATACGAATCATCCCGTTGTGCCGGTGGTGGAGTTAACGTTTTGCTGTAGACCCCGCTATTGGTTCTTCTTAGCTTTAGGTCGGCTAGATTCAGGAGAGACTTCCAGCGGCTTAGTCGGGGGCTGCAGAAATGCTACCGGCTTCTTCCCATCCTCGGCCCTGCACGGGCGCCGACCTCGTCCCACTTCAGACAGACGCACGCCGAAGAGCTCGCAGCCGGCGCGGGCCCAACTACGACCACCTCCCGTGGATCAACGTATGGGGCCCTCGCCCTTGACTACGCGACCCAAGGTCAAGGAAGTCCCGCCCGCAAGCCCGCCGGTCGGGCGCTGAGCCGACCCCGCCCCCGTGCCCGCGCAGGCAGCGCCCCGGGCATCCCGGCGCGCGCGGTGACGTCAGCGCGCCGCGCCCAAGGAAGGCCCGCCTCCGCAGCTTCTCCCCGTGAGGCGCTTGAGAGGACAACATGGCAAGGGAGCTGCGGACGCTTCTGATTTGGGGCCGCCGCCTTCGGGCTCCGTTGCGGGCTCCCGCGCTGGCGGCCGCTCCGGAAGGTGAGGGAAGCGGGTCGTCCCTCTGGGCGCAGGGTAGGGCTTCTTTTCTCGGCCACCCAGCAGGCCGGCGTGGGGCACGTGGGGATGCGGGTTCGAGGTCCCGGGGCCGGCCGGACCCAGAGCGGGCAAGCGCAGGGTTCGGGAGAGCGGAGCCGCTTGCCGAGTCGGGGCCCGGCAGGGCGCTGGTTTGGTGTTCCTCCGCCCCAGCTGTTCTGGAGCTCTGCGCTGCTTGGGTCCGTGGTTCGTCGGATGCCGCCGCACGCCGATTGAGCCCGGCTCGGGTTCTGGGGCCCCGAAGGCCATCCTGGCCCTCGGGTTGGGCTCTGGGCTGTCGACCACCACATCCAAGGGCCAGGAATCGGTGGGTAGAGCAGTGAATGCAAAATGACCTTAAGCCCCGCTTTCCTGCTGCCAGGTGTTGGCGTTCCTGGTGGGCTCTGCACACTCACGCTACGCACGTGTAAGTGTATAACTTTTTGCCTAAAAAGGCCTGAGTCAAATATGCATCGTGCTCCAGAATTTTTTAACGCTCCCAGTATTCCTTGTACATCTTTATATATACTTACATATATCCTTATACTCCTGGCATTCCTTATGCTGACATGAAAATATCAGTATACGGGTATCCAGCGTATTTCCAGTGGCAACACAGAGTTTTGTATTGTGGATGTATGTTTCTTCGCTTAACGTCCTATTAGATGCAATAAAGATTATTTCAGGTTATTTTATTACAGTGAAGAGTACAGTGAGCACTCCCCCGCTTCCCTTGGTCCTGGAGATTGAACCCTGAGGCACTCTACCACTAAGCCACATCCCAGCGCCCCCCCCCCCCTTTTAAATAAAATTTATTATTTTTTTTAGTTGTAAATGGACACAGTGCCTTTATTTTTATGTGGTGCTGAGGATTGAACCCAGTGCCTCACACATGCCAGGCAAGCGCTCTACCACTGAGCTACAACCCCAGCCCTTTTTATTTCTTGTTCTGAGACAGGGTCTTGCTAGGTTATTGAGGCTGGCTTGAAACTTGTGATTCACCTGCCTCAGTCTCCCAAGCTGGAATTAATCTATAATCTGTGGTTATAGGGGCGTGCTCCACATCTTTATTCTGTTTAGCTTTTTCTCTTACTCTCTGTCCTTTATCCTTGCACTTTGTTGTTGTTGTTGTACCAACAATTGAACCCAGAGTGATAAGTTAACCACTGAGCCACATCTTCACCCCTTTCTTTAGTGTTTTTTATTTTGAGACAGGGTCTCAAGTTGCCAGGGTGGTTTTTTTAAACTTGAAATCCTCCTACCTCAGCTTTGGGAGTCACTGGAATTATAGGTGTGTGCCATGGCCCCCAGCTCTTCCTACACCTGCGGGTATAGCAGTTTAAGCTTTGCAGACGCCCCTGTGTTACCTTGATGTTGTCACCTATGTGCACAAGTGTAAAAGTAACATGTTTATTAAGGAAGAAAACATTGTTTATATACTAAGGGAGGAAGAATGTGGTTATAGGTGAATCCACCCATACAGAAAATCCAGAACCCTTGTTTTTTTTTTTTCCTTAGGAAAGTGTTGCTGGAATCAAACATGTGATTAGCTTCAAATGTAGGATTCATCCTTCCAAACCCTGCTGACTCCATCACCACTGGCCCCTTCACTCTTCCTCAGAATAGCCCTGTGAGATGTGGGCTAGGGTTTCTGCTTTTATTTTTCATTTTTGCTCACTACTTATCAACAAATACATTTCAAATGCTCTCTGACTTGAGAGGTAATATGACCCTACTATCAGTGTCATATGTGAACTGGGCAGTGTGCTTAGGCTTCTGTGGAGGCCTTTATAGGGTATTGGGAGCACAGAAACACATGCAGGACTGCTTCATCTGCTTGCACCAGAGTATGTTTTGCAGAGCTGGGGCTGCAGTTGTGTGGCTCAGTGGCAGAGCGCTTGCCTAGCACGTATGAGGCGCTGGGTTCCATCCTAAGCACCACGTAAAGATAAATAAAGGTATAAAAAAATACAATAACATAAAAAAAAAAAAAAGTAATTCTGTGCCCTGGTAAATGTAGTTATTCGTTGTTGGGAGTAGGAATGGCAGAATATGGGTTACCTGGAAAACATGATGTTAATAATAAAAACGTAAACTGGAGGAATTGAATGTAGCTCAGTAGTAGAGTGCTTACCTAGTATGCGCCCGACCTTATCTCCAGCATCTCAGAAAAAAATAAAAAACAATAAAAAATCTGGGGTGAGAAAGGGCTGTTCAGAACGGAGCCTTGAACATGAGGGACTCTTGCTTGAACCCTCCACAACAATAAACGTAAACTGCCATCACATCTTTTCACCAGAGCTCTGGCAAGTATCAGAACTGGCTGGCTGACCACCAGACTGATAGGCTAGTTTTCATCAGAGAGCTAGAGCTACGGCCAGAAAATCCACAGCAGACTATCTTCCCAAGTGCATTGACTAGTCAAGCAGATAGGATGCCAGGCAATCATGATCACCGCAGCCACTGAGCTGTGCCTCTTCATTCTGCCAGATACTTTTGTTTTCAGGGTTGAGTGTTTTTTGATTTTTTTCCTTCTCATCCTGTGAGCTGGAGTCTTTGTTAGAAGTGTCTGTCTTGGAAACAAGAATTGCAGGGTCGCCTGCAAGCTCTGGGCACATTAGAAGAGATGGTTGCTGATTGCTCTGGAGCTCAAGCATTGGTAGATTTGTTTCATCTAATGAAAAGCACCTCACCTTGGGCTGGGGAAGTAGCTCAGTTGGTAGAGTGCTTGCCTCACATGCACAAGGCCATGAGTTCAATCCCCAGCACCATACACACACAAAAAAGAAAAGAACCGTACCTGGACCCTGCTACACTCCTGAGGGTGGCATTGCCTGGCTGCAGCCTCCCATTTCATACTTTATTTTCTTGATTTATTTTGTTTTCTTTCTCTGCTTATGGTTGGAACCTGTGCAGCTTAATTTTTATCCCTCTTGTGCTGCGGCCTTCACAAGAATCCGGATGAATTCGTGGTGTTCCCAGACTGGACTTCTCAGGATGGAGTGGGGTTGCTGCTTGCTGTCAGATTTTACCCTCTGTGAAACAGCTTTATGTTCCTAAGATGACATGATAGTACAGGTTTAGTGTCTAATGTTTTTGCCATCTGTGTGATTTGGGTGCTAGGGCATAAGGGCATAGACAAAAGCAGAGGAGGAAGGTGTGGCACAACTACTTGCAAGGTATTGAGTGGGCCTTGGCTTGGTGAGGACCAAGGGGACCAAAATATCTGAGCTGTCTGAGAAAGGAAAAATCAACCCAGATGTAACAGCAGCAAAAACCTCTTTAGTCCCTAGCTGAGTTTTGCTGCCCCCTGACAAGAAGAGGGAATATGGCTTGAAGGAGGAGGGAGTGTGTGTTTAGCTGATGAGAAAACTAGAGTAAATTCTGATACCCTGAATGTCAGTAAATACCAGGTGCAGAGGTAAGTTCTGTAAGGGAGATTTGCACTGAACCCAGCAGTGCTCCTCTGCTTCTTGGAATACTGACAAGCCTCTGATAGTAAATGAACTGTACCCATTTCACACTCCGTCCTACTTAGTCTTGATACTGAAGACTTGGCTTCCACAAGGAAGCTGCTTTTCTTTGTCCATCAGGATTTCTTATAGTTTTGCAACTTTTAGTAAAGACAGATTTCAGGAGATTTGTTTCTGGGGTGGCTGGTTATTTCTGCTGAACCCACTAGGAATTACAGACCATGAAAGCCATAGCTTGCAGATCCAGGATCTATGTGTGGGGCTTCTCTCTATATGCTTTTTAGCTGGGTAGATGCCTGTAGATGAGGGAAATTGAAAGCAAGTGTAACTTAGTCATGGGTGTAACTGATTTAAGAGAATGGCTCACCTTTAGCAACCTTGTGATTAGAATATAGTTAATTTTGAGATAGCCAAAATGCCATATTAAAAAGGCAGAAAATTAGATATTAATATTATTAAGAACAAAATAAAGAGTGTGCATCTTCCTAGTGTACCTGGATGTGATATAGTACCCAGAAGGAGAAATTAAGGCACATGTCTGTTTTAGTTCATCCACCAGTAGTCTAGCCTTGGCAAGTAAATTTTCCATGAAGCTTACTTTTAAAGTTAAGCATTAATTTATTGATTAATTTTTTTGGTCCTGGGGATTGAACCTATAGGCACTCTACCACTGAGCTACATCCCCAGCCCTTTTTATTTTGAGACAGGGTCTCACTAAGTTGCTAAGAATGGCCTTGAACTTGCCATCCTCCTGCCTCAGCCTCCTGAGTCTCTGGGATTACAGGTCGGCGCCACTGTGCCCAGCCTAAATATTTTATTTTATATGATTGGAAGTCTTTCTAAAAGACCTATTGGTTAGTTGGGACATAGCTGAGCCATTCTTTGGTGGTTTCCAGGTATTGCTGGATGTCAGTTCCTTGTCTTCCATTGAGTGCTTTGGCCCCTGCAGGGCTTTGAGATCGAAGAACACTTCATCTGTGAAACGCCTCCATACCAAAACTGTGTCTTGAGTACTGAGGAGTTATCATCCTCCATTGCAGTAGCTTTAACCTGGCAGCCTTCTCTGGGGCTGTTGTGAGTGAGCAGTGCTATTGACATATACCAAACGTTTGTTTCTTTCCACAGTGTCAGGGTTTATTAGAACAACAGATTCACTAGCTACACCACTGATAGAGCTGGCGAATCACAAGTTCCTTTATTCTGTTCTAATCTAAATTTCTGATATCTGTGGTGCTCACACTTTACACAATGATAGATAGATAGATATACATATACCATATATACACACATATATATACATACACACAGATCACAGAAAGACTAAGAAAGGGTTAAGGCAGTCACAGGGTTACAGGATACTGTGCCAAGAGCACAGGCTGAGAACAGATAAGGAGAGTCACTGCAAGTGGTCACATAAGAATTTTAACAAGCCAGTTCTGCAGAGTTGTCAAAATGTGGGTCTGGAAATACAGAAGGCAGTTTCAGAGTGTCAGC